TGGGAACGCAGTTGTCTTAGCCCCTAAACCAGCCAAGTTCAGCCCCCACGCCGTCTACAGCGGTTCGTGAATCATCATCGTGTCTACAAGCCACTCAAGAGAATGGAAGAAAACAGAATGACTTCGAGAGTGTATAAATCTGTAGTGGAAGGAAGGCGAGGTAGGGGTAAACCTAGAGAGGGATGGAGGGAGGGGGTAAAGGTTAAGTGTGCGAGGGCCTTGGACTTCCAGCAAGCGTGCGTGAGCGTATTTGATAGAAGTGAAAGGAGACGAATGGTTTTTAATACTTGACATGTTGTTGGAGGGTGAGCAAAGTAACATTATGAAGGGATTCAGGGAAACCGGCAGGCCGGACTTGAGTCCTGGAGATGGGAAGTACAGTGTCTGCACTCTGAAGGAGGTGTGTTGATGTTGCAGTTTTATAATTGTAGTGTAAAGCATCCCTCTGGCAAGACAGTGATGGAGTGAACGATGATGAAAGTTTTTTCTTTATTCGGGCCCCCCTGCCTTGGTGGGAATCGGCCGATGTGTTGAAATATATATACGTATATGGCCAAGCCGCAGATTATTAATTGTGTATAATTAGTACATAAATATATATATATATATATATATATATTATATATATATATATATATATATATATATATATATATATATATATATATATATATATATATATATATATATATAATATATATATATATATATATATTATATATATATATATATATATATATATATATATATATATATATATATATATATATATATGCAAAACAACCACTCTGAAAGAATAGAGAAATTCCAAGCGCTTTCGTGACTACTCACATTATCAAGGAACTATGAAAGTAAAGCATCCAAGGAAGCTATATAAGGGGTCCGGCCAGCACCTCACTATCAGATCCCACAACGGTTAAACACGTGACGCGCGGCGACCCAACTTGGATCGGTCCCTTGCACAACTCACCCCCAAGCTATTCTACCCAAGAAAGTTTAAAAATTATTATTTGTCCAGTGTATTATTAAATTCTTCCCAAATTCTATTAATTATAAATGGATCTAATTTATATAAACCAAAGGAAATATTCATATTATTGTCAAAACTGCTTATTATGAAACAAGATTCAATTATATTCCTGTCGACCATGGACTTGCTTGATACTACTTTCTCAACTTTTTGAAAATCAATTGGATGGTTAAAATCTCTTACATGAATATATAGAGCATTGGAATCTTGTCCAGTTCTAATGCTATATTTATGTTGTTTTAATCTTAGTTCGAGATTTTTACCAGTTTGACCGTAATAAACTTTATCGCAAATTTTACAAGGAATCTTATAGACACATCCATCAGCATTTTGGGGGGAATTCTTTATCAAAAGTTTTTTCACTGTATCAAGAATTTCAATACAACTTTAATATTAAAAGTCTTAAGAAGAGAAGGCATATCAACCAAGTTTTCATGGTATGGGAGAACCAACATATTTTTAGTTGAATAAGGCTGGTTGTCCCTTTTTGGATTATAAAAAGTGTTTCTAGCAACTTTAAAAGATTTATCAATTACATTTCTTGGGTATTTTAAATCATTACCTATTTCATAAATTTTGGATATTTCCTCATCTATGAACTCAGGACTACAAATTCGTAAAGCTCTCAAAACATTGATGAGAAAACAGACAGTTTGACTCTATCTTGATGCGAGGAATAATAGTGGACATAGGAACAGTTATTTGTAGGTTTTCTGTAAATTTTAAATTTGAATTCATTATTACCCTTAATAATTAAAACATCTAGAAAAGGCAATGAGTTATTTTCTTCAAACTCAACAGTAAAGTTTATAGAATGGGCTAAGCTATTTAATTTTCCAAGGAAATGGTGTATATCTACATTTTTGGGCATAAGACACAAAATATCATCAACATATCTGAACCATTTAGCTCTATTAGGGAGGATTGTGTTAAGCAACCTTGTTTCAAAAAATTCCATGTATAGGTTACTAAGAACAGGTGAAAGAGGATTTCCCATTGCCATACCAAACTTCTGAGTGTAAAACTTATCATTAAATACAAATTTTGCATCAACAATGCAAAGTTTAATAAGTTTAATGATAGTAGGAACTGACAATGGTAAATCATAGTTAACGAGTTCTTCAGATAAGAAACTTAATAAATCATCAACAGGAACTTTCGTAAACAAGGAAGAAACATCAAAACTAGTTCATAGATGAGGAAATATCCAAAATTTATGAAATAGGTAATGATTTAAAATACCCAAGAAATGTAATTGATAAGTCTTTTAAAGTTGCTAGAAACACTTTTTATAATCCAAAAAGGGACAACCAGCCTTATTCAACTAAAAATATGTTGGTTCTCCCTTACCATGAAAACTTGGTTGATATGCCTTCTCTTCTTAAGACTTTTAATATTAAAGTTGTATTCAAAAATCTTGATACAGTGAAAAAACTTTTGATAAAGAATTCCCCCCAAAATGCTAATGGATGTGTCTATAAGATTCCTTGTAAAATTTGCGATAAAGTTTATTACGGTCAAACTGGTAAAAATCTCGAACTAAGATTAAAACAACATAAATATAGCATTAGAACTGGACAAGATTCCAATGCTCTATTTATTCATGCAAGAGATTTTAACCATCCAATTGATTTTCAAAAAGTTGAGAAAGTAGTATCAAGCAAGTCCATGGTCGACACGAATATAATTGAATCTTGTTTCATAAAAAGCAGTTTTGACAATAATATGAATATTTCCTTTGGTTTATATAAATTAGATCCATTTATAATTAATAGAATTTGGGAAGAATTTAATAATACACTGGACAAATAATAATTTTTAAACTTTCTTGGGTAGAATAGCTTGGGGTTGAGTTGTGCAAGGGACCGATCCAAGTTGGGTCGCCGCGCGTCACGTGTTTAACCGTTGTGGGATCTGATAGTGAGGTGCTGGCCGGACCCCTTATATAGCTTCTTTGGATGCTTTACTTTCATAGTTCCTTGATAATGTGAGTAGTCACGAAAGCGCTTGGAATTTCTCTATTCTTTCAGAGTGGTTGTTTTGCATATTTTGAAATCACCTGTTTACTGTGATCTTATTGCATATATATATATATATATATATATATATATATATATATATATATATATATATATATATATATATATATATATATATATATATATATATATATGTATATATATATATATATATATATATATATATATATATATATATATATATATATATATATATATATATATATATATATATATATATATATACATATATTTATATATATATTTATATATATATATATATATATATATATATATATATATATATATATATATATATATATATATATATATATATATATATATATGTCGTGCCGAATATGTAAAACTGGTCAATTAGGAAGAACTCACTTAAAATTAAGTCCTTTCTAAAATTTTCTCTTATACATTTAAAGATATATTTTTTTCATTAATGTTGATGTAAAAATTTATAATTTTGCACCAAAAGGAACTTAGAAAACTTACCTAACCTTATTATAACAAGAACAATTTATTTTAGCCTAACCCAACTAAGTATATTTTAGATTTGTTTACAATAATTTAATACTAAACAAACACAGTGAAATATATTTTTTTCGTTAGGTTCAGAATGATTTTGGCGAAATTATTGCATACACAAATTTTCGCTTGTCCTATATGGCAAGATGAGCGTTGCTATTTAAGCCAAGATCGCAAGTTCTGCCTATTCGGCACGACATATATATATATATATATATATATATATATATATATATATATATATATATATATATATATGTATATATATATATATATATTTATATATATATATATATATATATATATATATATATATATATATATATATATTATATATATATATGTATGTATGTATGTATGTATGCATGCATAATTAATAATCTGCGGCTTGGCCAGGAATCGAACCTATGTTACTTAACCCGCCTCGTGGGAAGCAAGTGAAAATTCACGACGCTGTAATCACTGGACTATACACTCCTTCAGAAATCATGTACCTAGCGGGACTAGACGTTTTTCATGACGCGATGACATTCGGGACCTTGGTAAGGTCAACCAAATTTCATTCTAGTTTCGTCCATATATTAATGCAACCAGGAGACAAGTGGTATTGATGTTAGTTTAGCCCACCTCGTGGAATATATGCATGTTCATATATAATTTTTGTAGGCATGTGTGTGTGCAGATGTATAAATATGCATCGGCACACACACTGCCACAAGTAACTGTTGTGATGCGTCACACGACACACAGCTTAACTACGCTGCCACAAGCTTCTATCTCTGTATCACAAGATCTGCAGCTTATCTGAGTATACATTCTGATACAGGTTATTGTTGTCATGTAACAAGATGTACATCTTATATGTACAGTGAGATACTTATGAAACATATGGGAATCTTTATCGATGCAACGTTTCGCCAGACAGTGGCTTCATCAGTCCAATAAAAAGAAAAACGGTGTAAAGAGAAGAGGAGTTTGAGGTAATCAGTCCATCAGCCTAGAGTCGATGTGTTCAGTCCATCACTCTTGAAGAAAGTACAGCATATGGTCGGAGAAGTGGATTATATACTGTAGTTAGGTGAGTAGAAGTAGGAAGAGGCGGGATCACAGTGGAACCATCCACTAGTGTAAGTAGGTCTTCGTCCGAAGGTTGGACAAGTGTCAAAGAATTCCTTCTATCAAGATCCCGTGATATTCCTGTGTCTGACAGGTGTTTCGCCACTGTCTGGCAAAACGTTTCCTCAGTAAAGATATCCATATGTTGTATAAGTGTCTCATTCTTCAATTTATCGGGTTTCTAAACCATTTATCACTGCTACAGTTCACAGTTATCATGAACCACATGAGTTACAGCTTACATAGACTGCTACATATTACTGTTCTCGTGTATACCATAATTTTATGTTCATCTTCAGAACCACCACCTGTGCAAAACCTGACGAGTGCTGTGAGAGACAGTAATACAGTTCAGATGTTTTGGAATGATCCCTGCCCTAGCAATGGTGCCATCACTGGATACTATAGTAATTATGATGGAAAACGCTTAGGACCAGTAAAGTGCACCACGTCGTTAGTGTTTGATCGCTGCCATACCATCAGTCAGTTATCCACAGAAAAAAATTACACATTCCAGGTAAGTTATATTTATTATCAAATGAGCATCACCAAAAGCCATTTTTTTTTCTTTTTAACTGAAGACAGATGTAAGAAAATATTACTGCATATTGGTAGTTTATGCCACAAAATTAAAAGCGGAAAGAGAAAATAAAACGAGGCAGTAGAAATTTTTATTCTAGGAATAAAAACTGACACAAAATTGATCAGAGGAGACTCCGGGATAAGAATTATGAGAACAAGTCATGAAAATATCAGGTAAAGGGTGACGTAACTTTATGTATAAAAGTTGGAAATAAATGGTATAAAATACCGACACAATGGAAATATAAACACAAATGCAGTATAATGTGATCCTTTATTGACAACGTTTCACCCACACAGTGGGCTTTCTCAAGTCACACACGGATCTACCTGGGGTTGGAAGGTACGAGAGTATTTATAGTCATGTTCAGAATGTTGAGGTCAGGTGGAGAATGTTGCATCTGATGATCTACCGGGTGGGGTTATAAAGTCTTGGGTAGCTTGGGTACCCCTGCCAAGCTACCCAAGACTTTATAACTCCACCCGGTAGATCATCAGATGCAACATTCTCCACCTGACCTCAACATTCTGAACATGACTATAAATACTCTCGTACCTTCCAACCCCAGGTAGATCCGTGTGTGACTTGAAAAAGCCCACTGTGTGGGTGAAACTGCATTTGTGTTTATATTTCCATGTATAAAAGTTAATGATCTGTTAACAGATGTGAGGTTATGTACGATGATAAGACAAATAGTTAGTCCCTAAATTACTTCAAAATTTTTGGAAGAGAGAAAGATTTCCTGGGTGCGGGAATTACGTCGGAAAAAAACTTCCCTAGGTCTGAGAATACTGTCAGGCAAAACTTCCTTGTCTTTGAGAATACTGTACAAAGAAACTTTCTTAGCTGAATGAAACTTTAAATGAAGATTTTTAAAGGATTACCTGGAGTTTACCTGGAGAGAGTTTCGGGGGTCAACGCCCCCGCGGCCCGGTCTGTGACCAGGCCTCCGTAATTGAAAACTTTCGTGTGAATGAAAATACTCGAGGAGAAAAATTCCTTTGGTGCTATAACATCGTACTGAAAAAGCTAACGTAATTGTAATAATATTGTACAGGATGAACTTCGCTAGATTTAAGACTACTGTAAGGAAAAGCGTCCATAGATGTACGAGTATTGCATAGATAAGTTTACATTGAAGTGAGATTTTTTAACGAGGAGCTTCGCTAGGTGTGCAGAGTCTTTAACAAGAAGCTCCTCTAGATGTGAATCATCTGTAGGGAAGAACTTCCAGTGTGTGAACTCGCAGAGACTTCTCAGCATTGTGAGGCAGTGTTGTCATCTACACACCTCTACTGGTCATTCAGATATTCCAACACCTGTCTATAATTCTTCTTCTTCTTCTTCTTCTTCTTCTTCTTCTTCTTCTTCTTCTTCTTCTTCTTCTTCTTCTTCTTCTTCTTCTTCTTCTTCTTCTTCTTATTATTATTATTATTATTATTATTATTATTATTATTATTATCATCTTCATCAAACGAGATCTTCGTGACTGACTTTTTTGCAGTGTAGTTAAAGACATGGTAATTATGTAAAGTTTGTCATAATTTTAATGCAATTATATATATATATATATATATATATATATATATATATATATATATATATATATATATATATATATATATATATATATATATATATATATATATGTTATAGGTAGTAGGTTGGTAGACAGCAACCGCCCAGGGAGGTACTACCGTCCTGCCAAGTGAGTGTAAAACGAAAGCCTGTAATTGTTTTACATGATGGTAGGATTGCTGGTGTCCTTTTTTCTGTCTCATGAACATGCAAGATTTCAGGTACGTCTTGCTACTTCTACTTACACTTAGGTCACACTACACATACATGTACAAGCACATATATACACACCCCTCTGGGTTTTCTTCTATTTTCTTTCTAGTTCTTATTCTTGTTTATTTCCTCTTATCTCCATGGGGAAGTGGAACAGAATTCTTCCTCCGTAAGCCATGCGTGTTGTAAGAGGCGACTAAAATGCCGGGAGCAAGGGGCTAGTAACCTCTTCTCCTGTATATATTACTAAATGTAAAAGGAGAAACTTTCGTTTTTCCTTTTGGGCCACCCCGCCTTGGTGGGATACAGCCGGTGTGTTGAAAGAAAGAAAGAATATATATATGTCGTGCCGAATATGTAAAACTGGTCAATTAGCAGGAACTCATTTAAAATTAAGTCCTTTCTAAAATTTTCTCTTATAAGTTTAAAGATATATTTTTTTCATTAATGTTAATGTAAAAAATTTTAAATTCGCACCAAAGGAATCTTAGAAAACTTACCTAACCTTATTATAACAAGAGCAATTTATCTTAGCCTAACTCAACTAAATATATTTTAGATTTGTTTACAGTAATTTAATACTAAACAAACACAGTGAAATATATATTTTTCGTTAGGTTCAGAATGATTTTGGCGAAATTATTGCATACACAAATTTTCACTTGTCCTATATGGCAAGATGATCGTTGGTATTTAAGCTAAGATCGCAAGTTCTGCCTATTCGGCACGACATATATATATATATATATATATATATATATATATAGAGAAGAGAGGAGAGAGAGAGAGACGAGGAGGAGAGATGATGAAAGAGAGAGAGAGAGAGAGAGAGAGAGAGAGAGAGAGAGAGAAGGAGAGAGAGCAGAGAGAGAGAGAGAGAGAGCAGGAGAGAGAGAGAGCAAGAGAGAGGAGCGAGAGCGAGAGAGAGCGAGAAGAGGAGCGAGAGAGAGCGAGAGAGAGCGAGAGAGAGCGAGAGAGAGCGAGAGAGAGCGAGAGAGAGCAGAGAGAGCGAGAGAGAGCGAGAGAGGAGGAGGAGAGAGCGAGAGAGAGCGAGAGGAGAGACGAGAGAGGAGAGAGAGAGAGAGAGAGAGAGAGAGAGAGAGAGAGAGAGAGAGAGAGAGAGAGAGAGAGAGAGAGAGAGAGAGAGAGAGAGAGAGAGAGAGAGAGAGAGAGAGAGGAGAAGAAAATATTCAAACAGCTCCGGGGAGAACCTTGAGTTTTCCCTGAGGTGCGTGTATTGTCTTCTCAGAGGATGAGGGTTTCCAGTCCAGCCATAAAGGTGGTACTTCTCTATATTTAGTAAGAAAGAAGCAAGATGCTCATAACTGTTGTTAATTTTCGCTTTTGATTTAATATGTAATTTACATTCAAAGACACTATCTCCCATTAGCTTGCAATTAGGAATGCTCATTCATATGTAACTTTACAAGTAAATGTGCTTTTTCGTGTATTACTTTACAAGAAAGTCTTGCTTCTTCATGTATTACTTAACAAGTAAGTCTTGTTTGTTCAAGTGTTATTTTACAATTGTTTGCTTGTTTATGTGTTACTTTACAAGTAAGTTTGCTTGTTCATATGTCACTTTACAAGTAACCTTGCTCATATGTCACTTTACAATATTGCTCGTCCATGTGCCACTTTACAAGTCTGCTTCTTTATGTGTGCTTTACAAATTAGACCGCATTCTTTACAAGCAAAACTGATCGTTTATGTGTCATTCTTACAATTAAGACTGGTCGTTTATATGACACTGAATATGTAAGATTCTTAGTTTTTGTGTCACTTAAATAGATTACTCCTCACGTGTCGCTTTGCAAGTAGGATTGCTTGGTCATGTGTCACACTGCAAGTAAGATTGCTTGGTCATGTGACGCTCTTCAAGATTGCTTGGTCATGTGTCACTCTGCAAGTAAGATTGCTTGGTCATGTGTCGCTCTGCAATTGAGATTGCTTGGTCATGTGACGCTCTTCAAAATTGCTTGGTCATGTGTCACTCTGCAAGTAAGATTGCTTGGTCATGTGTCGCTCTGCAAGTAAGATTGCTTGGTTATGTGTCGCTCTGCAAGTAAGATTGCTTGGTCATGTGTCGCTTTGCAAGTAAGATTGCTTGGTCATGTGTCGCTCTGCAAGTAAGATTGCTTGTCATGTATCGTTCTGCAAGTAATATTGCTTGGTTATGTGTCGCTTTGCAAGTAAGATTGCTTGGTCATGTGTCGCTCTGCAAGATTGCTTGGCCATGTGTCGCTCTGCAAGTAAGATTGCTTGGTCATGTATCGTTCTGCAAGTAATATTGCTTGGTCATGTGTCGCTTTGCAAGTAAGATTGCTTGGTCATGGGTCGCTCTGCAAGTAAGATTGCTTGGTCATGTGTCGCTCTGCAAGATTTCTTGATCATGTGTTGCTCTGCAAGTAAGATTGCTTGATCATGTGTCGCTCTGCAAGTAAGATTGCTTGGTCATATGTCGCTTTGCAAGTAAGATTGTTTGGTCATGTGTCGCTCTGCAAATAAGATTGCTTGAACATATGTCGCTTTGCAAGTAAGATTGATTGGTCATGTGTCACTCTGCAAGTAAGATTGATTGGTCATGTGTCGCTTTGCAAATAAGAGTGTTTGGTCTTGTGTCGCTCTGCAAGCAAGTTTGCTTGGTCATGTGTCGAGCAGCAAGATTGCTTGGTCATTTGTCGCTCTCCAAATAAGATTGCTTGGTCGTGTATTGCTCTGAAAGTAAGAATGCTTAGTCATGTGTCGCTCTGCAAGTAAGATTGCTTAGTCATGTGTCGCTTTGCAAGTAAGATTGCTTCGTCATGTATCGCTCTGCAAGTAAGATTGCTTGGTCATGTGTCACTCTGTAAGTAAAATTGCTTGGTCATGTGTCACTCTGCAAGTAAGATTGCTTGGTCATGTGTCGCTCTGCAAGTAAGATTGTTTGGTCATATGTCGCTCTGTAAGTAAGATTGCTTGGTCACGTGTCGTTCGGCAAGTAAGATTGCTTGGTCATGTATCGCTATGCAAGTAAGATTGCTTGGTCATGTGTCGTTCTGCAAGTAAGATTGTTTGGTCATATGTCGCTCTGTAAGTAAGATTGCTTGGTCATGTGTCGCTCGGCAAGTAAGATTGCTTGGTCATGTATCGCTATGCAAGTAAGATTGCTTAGTTATGTGTCTCTCTGCAAGTAAGATTGCTCCGTCATGTGCCGTTCTGTAAGTAAGATTGCTTGGTAAAGTGTTCGCTCTGCAAGTAAGATTCCTTGGTCATGTGTCTCTTTGCAAATAAGAGTGCTTGGTCGTGTGTCTTACTGCAAGTAAGATTGCTTGGTCATATGTCGCTCTGCAAGTAAGATTGCTTGGTCATGTGTCGCTCTGCAAGATTGCTTGGTCATGTGTCACTCTGCAAGTAAGATTGCTTGGTCATGTGTCGCTCTGCAAGTAAGATTGCTTGGTCATGTGTCGCTCTGCAAGTAAGATTGCTTGGTCATGTTTCGCTTTGCAAGATTGCTTGGTCATGTGTCGCTCTGCAAATAAGATTGCTTGGTCGTGTGTCGCTCTGCAAGTAAAATTGCTTGGTCATGTGTCGCTTTGCAAGTCAGATTGCGTGGTCATGTGTCGCTTTGCAAGTAAGATTGCTTGGTAATGTGTCGCTCTGCAAGGAAAATTACTTGGTCATGTGTCACTCTGCAAGTAAGACTGCTTGGTCATGCGTCGCTCTGCAAGACTGCATGTTCATGTGTCGCTCTGCAAGTAAGATTGCTTGGTCATGTGTTGCTTTGCAAGTAAGATTACTTAGACATGTGTCGCTCTTCAAGTAAGATTACTTGGTCATGTGTCGCTCTGCAAGAAAGATTGCTTGGTCGTGTGTCGCTCTGCGAATAAGATTGCTTGGTCATGTGTTAGTTTACAAGCCTGCTCGTCCATGTGTCACTTTTCATTTAAAATTATTGATTGTTAATATTTAAGTAATAATAATACTAATGTAACAGGTACATGTCAAATACTGTATTAAGATGGACATTTTTATATATTTTGAAGGGAATAATACAATTTTTAATATGTATATCAAACTAAGGCATTTGTTTCTCTAACTAGGTAGAGGTAATAAATTCGTTTGGTAAAAGTGAAGCAACTGCTGCCTCCATTGAGCTGAGGATGAGACGTGAGTATTGTAATTTTTTCATTGATAACATAGAGCTTAATTTTTAATCGTAAAAGTGCCGTGAAGACAACCACTGTATTTTTGCAGTTTTACACAATACATCAGATGGTTAAAGACAGGTTTGCAATATATAGCTTCATCTCTGTATCACTCCCTGACTAGTTAGTTCCAAGGAAGTGCATAAATAATGTAATAATGTCTTCCTTTTTCTGCATGACGTCATGTACACATTATTCATCACGACGTTATACACTTATCATTCACAGTCTTATTTAACAAGTTAGTTGGTTTTTAGCACAACATACTGCATAAGCCTCAGAAACCATTATATACGTTTATTCTCTGAATTACTTGTTTTAAGTTTTCAATCATCGTGGATCATTTAATTCAAGCTCCTCTCTAGTTCATTCCTTTGTACAGTGCAGGTCACCCAATCAAATTCATCCACCAACCTCTGCTACTTCTCATCACTATCTCCCAAGAGCACAGTGTCATCAGCAAAGAGCAACTGTGACAACTCCCACTTTATGTGTGATTCTTTTAACTCCACACCTCTTGCCAAGACCCTCGCATTTACTTCTCTTACAACCCCATCTATAAATATATTAAACAACCACGGTGACATCACACATCCTTGTCTAAGGCCTACTTTTACTGGGAAATAATCTCCCTCTTTCTTACCTCGCTATCCTCGTAAAAACTCTTCACTGCTTTCAGTAACCTACCTCCTATACCATACACCTGCAACATCTACCACATTGCCCCCCTATCCACCCTGTCATACACCTTTTCCAAATCCATAAATGCCACAAAAACCTCTTTAGCCTTACTGTTCACTTATATGTTTCACTGTAAACACCTGGTCCACACACCCACTACCTTTCCTAAAGCCTCCTTGTTCATCTGCTGTCCTATTCTCCGTCTTACTCTTAATTCTTTCAACAATAACTCTACCATACACTTTACCAGGTATACTCATCAGACTTATCCCCCTATAATTTTTGCACTCTCTTTTGTCCCCTTTGCCTTTATACAAAGGAACTATGCATGTTCTCTGCCAATCTTTAGGTACCTTACCCTTTTCCATATATTTATTAAATAATAGCACCAACCACTCCAAAACTATATCCCCACCTGCTTTTAACATTTCTATCTTTATCCCATCAATCCCAGCTGCTTTACCCCCTTTCATTTTACCTACTGCCTCACGAACTTTCATCACATTCACAACATCCTACAAGATGTTATTCCTCCTTGCCCTATACAAGAAATCACAGCTTCCGTATCTTCATCAACATTTAACAATTCCTCAAAATATTCCCTCCATCTTCCCAATACCTCTAACTCTCCATTTAACAACTCTCCTCTCCTATTTTTAACTGACAAATCCATTTGTTCTCTAGGCTTCCTTAACTTGTTAATCTCACTCCAAAACTTTTTCTTATTTTCAACAAATTTTTTTTTATAACATTTAACCCACTCCATCATTTGCTCTCTTTTTACATTGCTTCACCAATCTCTTAACATCTCTCTTTTTCTCCATGTACTCTTCTCTCCTTGCATCACTTCTACTTTGTAAAAACTTCTCATATGCTAACTTTTTCTCCCTTACTACTCTCTTTACATCATCATTCCACCCACTCTCCTCTTCCCTCCCGCACCCACTTTCCTGTAACCACAAACTTCTGCTGAACACTCTAACACTACATTTTTAAACCTACCCCATATCTCTTCGACCCCATTGCCTATGCTCTCATTAGCCCATCTATCCTCCAATAGCTGTTTATAATTACCCTAACTGCCTACTCTTTTAGTTTATAAACCTTCACCTCTCTCTTCCCTGATGCTTCTATTCTCCTTGTATCCCATTTACCTTTTACTTTCAGTGTAGGTACAACTAAAAAGTGATCTGATATATCTGTGGCCCCTCTATAAACATATATATATATATATATATATATATATATATATATATATATATATATATATATATATATATATATATAATATATTATATATATATATATATGCAAAACAACCACTCTGAAAGAATAGAGAAATTCCAAGCGCTTTCGTGACTACTCACATTACATTATAGTTCCTTGATAATGTGAGTAGTCACGAAAGCGCTTGGAATTTCTCTATTCTTTCAGAGTGGTTGTTTTGCATATTCTGAAATCACCTGTTTACTGTGATCTTATTGCATATATATATATATATATATATATATATATATATATATATTATATATTATATATATATATATATATATATTATATATATATATATATATATATATATTATATATACATGTACGGTGAACCCCCGCTTTACGATGGCATCGCTTTCGTGACTACTCACATTATCCTTGATAATGTGAGTAGTCACGAAAGCGCTTGGAATTTCTCTATTCTTTCAGAGTGGTTGTTTTGCAAAATATATATATATATATATATATATATATATATATATATATATATATATATATATATATATATATATATATATATATATATATATATATATATATATACATATATACGTTTGTGTGTGTGTGTGTTTGTGTGTTCTCATACATTAATTTGTATTAATGTTAGTAAATTACTACTAATTATCTACCACAGAGCCAAGTGCCCCAGAGTCCATCGCATCTCTTCGAGGACCCTTACAAGTAGTTCTGTTCATCCATCTGCCAACTGATCCCGGCGGAGTTCTACGTAACTGTACATTGTCTCTCGGTAAAAGAAACCAATCATGCACTGAGCCTGCCAATCAGAGTTCTCCCATAAAATGTAAGGTAAAAATCTCTGATTCGTATTTCGTACATTGTTAACAGAATATTGTTTTCTTAGCACAGTAAGTTTCTAATCATTGTGTAATTTTTCGTTGTACTTAAGACAACCTAACTATATTCATCATTAAGATTATAAATTATTGTTCAAGTATTATACACTTAAAAATCAATTTGCTAAGCAAATTTTCAAAACATGTGTATAATGGGAAGCTGAATTGACAGTTATATAATTGTTAGCCTTTGTGATATACTCCGCTTTTTGAGTAAGTTTATAACCAGGTTCCACGAACATTAGCAACTTTTTTGAAGTGATCACTGATTTTAAATCATTGAGTTGATTAATAATGATAATTATTGTTTATATGTAGTTACAAATATATTGCATATTATTTTCCCATGCACTATTTTGTTATGGTATAGTAATTACAAATTATTATTAATATTATTGGTAAAGAGGTAAGCTGTAAATGAGGAAGAATTTCTTTAGGCATGATTATTATCATAATAATAATAATCTGATGATTAAATAACAGGAATTGAGTAATGAGTTAGTTAGTTAGTTAAAGATTAGCCGGTATTCTCCCGGCCCGGGCCTTGTCCAAGTGGTGGCCCGGCCTTGGCTCCCTCTTTAGGGAGTGTCTGAGACCTAAGTCTCCCATGGGAGGAGGCACAAATACCTCCTCATCTTTGGGACCAACTGTCCCCAGGCCTAGCCACAAGCTAGGCCTCTCTGGTCTGCCATCCCCGCCCCAAGGGGACTAATGGGAATGACAGTCTTATGAGCTAATGGCTCGGGCTCGGGCACCTACCCTACCCTAGAGGGGCTGGGCATGGTGTCGATTTTGAGTAATGAGTGAAAATGCAATATTTTTTCATAATTATAAAATTATAAATAAAAGAGTTGAATAGTTTATGTTATTATAGCATAATTATTTTCTGAAATTTTTTCTAAATAATTTCAGTCATGGTATTATTCTCATCAGACTTTTTAGAAGTGTTTTGAAATAAGTGATGATAATTTTAATTTGCAGAAGGATTTTATAAGTTATAAATAACATTTTTGGTACAGTAAAGTTGCTAAAAGCTTCAAGGAAGAGAAAAAATGAGATAACATTGACAGCTGAACATGTTTATACAGTTACTGTATGTAGAAGTCGATGTTTTTTAAGACTGGTAGATATCCCCGAAGGTGTACCTATAATTAAGTGGTTGACTGTTTTTGTTTATTCAACAAGTTTTTTCCGTTTATAATTTGAGAATGTTTAGTCCAACAATGATGTTCTGTAAGTAGAGTTACAGTGATTATAGTTTACATGTAATTATTAACAAAATCCGGGTCTGATCGGGTTCAAACTTTCATCACTTGATGCATTCTACACTGAGGAAAGTTTTGATTCCTACTACAGTAATTAGGTGACAATCTGCTAATTTTACTTTTTAAATTCGTGTTGTTCTTTTTTTCCGTGAGGTACCTTTGATTTGTTAAGTTTTTCATTGTTAAGTTTCCTTATGTAATTAAAAAACCTGGTATCATGGAATTACAAGCATTGCGACCGTAATGAAGATTCAAATTGACAGAAGATTCAAATTTACAATTTACAGGAAGTCAACCAGTCTGTTGTCAGGTATTCACTGTTATTCCAATCATGAGTCTTGGGTTAAAATGAGTGCGTTCCTTACAATGTTCCCGAGAGCCTTGAATATTTGCAGCCCCAAGTATTTAGAAAATGAAATTTGTAAGATTTGAAACATAGCCACAAAACTGAGATATCCAGGGATTTTGTTGAGAAAGACTTGTTGTCAGCTAGGAATAATTTCTACAGGACTGACCCTAAAGAATTGCCTGTCATGAAAAAATATACCATTTCTACCTTACAATGAGAATTTGGTCAGCCTGCATGAACCATTAAAATGTTCAGTATAAACATTGCCTTCAGTTAAGCAGAGATTTAATAAGAACACACCGTCTAATAGTGTGGATTGTGTTTACAAGGTCCCATGCTCTCTTTGCTATCTTTCATTTATTGAACAAGCTGGTAAACTCCTGGATTCCAGATTATCCCAACATCAGTATTCACTCAGGATGGGCCAGGAGTCGAATGCTATTTTTAACCATGTCAGTTTTTGCAATGACCCACTGGGGTGGACTGCTGCAGAGATTATTGTACTCAATAATTCCGTCATGGAAAGAGACATAATTGAATCCTCGCTCTTGAAATATGATAGGATTGCCTAATGTAACTCACATTATGGGTTGCATAAATTTGAAAGTTACTTGGTGGAGTCTATTGTACACAGGCTTAAGCAACAGTGCTATTCAAAATCGGAGGATAGCTCATTATGCCACAGGGCCTCGTGAATTTTTTGTAAAGTTAGACCAGTGTTCTCCGCACCTATCCTCGAGTTTCGTCCATTGTGAATGTGTCATGCCTGTCACTATTAATAATAATATATAACTATCAAGAGTAAATCCATTTAGCTACACCTACATAAAGCTACAATACAGTTACAGGTACACAAGGTTAAGTGACTGCAATCAGTGATTGCATCATGGTGATTGCAACTTGCTTAGTGGGTTACGATCTAACAAGGTTAGGTTGTTATGTTGTGTAAAGGATAATAAATTATCTTGTTATTAGGTCTTCCAAATTATCAGTATACTTAGTTACAGTTATAATAATTGATATTGTGCATATCAGTAGGCGGTATTTTTAGGAATATATGAAGAGATTCTTCCACACCTTCCAGAAATTTCTACCTACACCCCCTTCCCCCTCCCGAGTCATTCGGTGTTTTAAGTTGACAAATGAGCGCATTCGACTCTTTCTTAATTAGAAGGTTTATAGATAATATCGTTGTTTTGTACGTCCATAATCCATTAGCGCAATGTAATCTCTTATGTCACATGACCTGATGATGGCAATTAGATGGCTCTTAGGGCTGGCTGTTCCATCTATTTTTCTGTTTCCGGTTTTCTGTAAACTTGGAGTCTTCTCCCCTACCCCGTTTGGGGAGGGGTGGGGAGGGTGAGTGCTTGGTTTGCAGATGGACCGGTGCCTCTCATGTCTGAGAGAAGCTGGCTCATGTCACCACGTTGTCTTTCTCTGAGATGACTCCCCATCATTTCTTTTGTTGCTACTCTTGCAACATTACATTGCTCCTGATGATGCACAAAGTGCGAAAGAACTTGAGCTGAAGCTTTCCATCCCCCGTGGCTTGTCTTGCACATTCCCAGAAATATTACACCAGGGGATTCAAGCCACGTTGTTCGTTTCCCACGAGTGGGGCTTAGCTCCCACAGTGACCCGAAAACTATTAACTACAGATGCATAAAACGCTATTTACCTTTTAAGCATGTTTCTTCCCCACAGAGAAAACCAGTGGTCTCAGGCAGACCCCACATTTCATTCTCCTCCTGTAAGTTCTGGCCTCATTTTCGATTATAATTCAATGCATATCGCAGAAACAAGGAACCTACTAGCTGGCTTTTTTTGTAATATTTTCGTTTAAATTTTTGTCAGTTGCGCTGAATATAGTTTTCCTGGGATAAAGAAAAATTCGGGAAACTATGCTGAGGCTCACTGGGCGCCCCGCACTAGAATTAAACATGGCTTTTGAAGAAGCTGCCTTGTTTTCTGAGGTATCTGTAACTTATGGGTTATCATCCTTACAGAATGCATCGTCTATACCAAGTGTTATACAGTTTTACTGCATCAACAAATTTGCCTAAAAATTCAATTCAATAGGTAGGTAGTAGGTTGGTAGACAGCAACCACCCAGGGAGGTACTAATGTCCTGCCAGGTGAGTGGGAACAGAAACCTCCCCAAAGTTTTACATGATGGTAGGATTGCTGGTGTCTTTTTCTGTCTCATAAACACCCTGGATCGCAAGTATATGTTGCTCCTTCTACTTACACTTAGGTCACACTACACAGGCATGCACATGCATACATATACATACATACATCTAGATTTTTCTTCTTTTTCTTAATAGCTCTTGTTCTTGATTTTTTTCTTTCTTTGTCTCTTTTGTCCATGGGGAAGTGCAAGAGAATCCTTCCTCCGTAAGCCATTTGTGTCGTATGAGGCGACTAAAATGCCGGGAGCAATGGGCATTGCAACCCCTTCTACTGTACACATTTACTAAAAATGACAAGAAAAACTTTATAGAACTGGGATGCTTGAATGTGTGTGGATGTAGTGCGGATGATAAGAAAGAGATGATTGTTGATATTATGAATGAAAAGAAGTTGGATGTCCTGGCCCTAAGTGAAACAAAGCTGAAGGGGGTAGGGGAGTTTCGGTCGAGAGAAATGTATGAGATTAAGTCAGGAGTATCTGAGAAACTTAGAGCTAAGGAAGGGGTAGCAATAATGTTGAAGAACCAGTTATGGAAAGAGAAGAGGGAATATAAATGTGTAAATTCAAGGATTATGTGGATTAAAATAAGGGTCGGATGTGAAAAATGGGTCATAATAAGCGTGTATGCACCTGGAGAAGAGTGGAGTGTAGAGGAGAGAGAGAGAGATTTTGGGAGATGTTAAGCGAATGTACAGGAACCTTTGAACCAAGTGAGAGAGTAATTGTGGTAGGGGACCTAAGTGCTAAAGAAGTAGAAAAAATTAGAGAGGGTGTGGTAGCTAAGTTTCGGGTGCCAGGTGTAAATGATAATGGGAGCCCTTTGATTGAACTTTGAATAGAAAGGGGTCTAGTTATAGGTAATACGCATTTTAAGAAAAAGAGGGTAAATAAGTATACAAGATATGATGTAAGGCGAAATGACAGTAGTTTGTTGGACTATGTATTGGTAGATAAAAGACTGTCGAGTAGACTTCAGGATGTACATGTTTATAGAGGGGCCAGAGATATATCAGATCAGTTTCTAGTTGTAGCTACAGTGAGAGTAAAAGTTAGATGGGATACAAGGGAAATAGAAGCAGGAAGTAAGAGAGAGGTAAACGTGTATAAACTAAAAGAGGAAGCAGTTAGGGTAAGATATAAAC